TTTTCAAAATTCCGTCCACAGGTTGCCAAGATATATAATTTTTTTGCGCTCACCTTCAGTCCAATTTTTAAGTTTTGCCATAAATAGATTTCTAAGCGTAGCTGTTATGAATGTAGCATGCAAGAGAAAACATTCAATGCAGGGAACTATTCAATATGCTTACTTATATGTACTTCTCTTCTCAATTGCTTTATAATTAAAAGCTTGAATGAAGGAAATAATGTGAAACAAACTTTTTAAACTAAAATAGTGAAAATTAGTACAAAGAAGCTCCCTCCTTTTATCAAGCATGTCAAGGCACCAGTCCTTATCCCATCAGCAAAACATTTTCTCTAATTCCAAAGCCTTTTTCCATGCAATCCACAACCTTTTTGTCACTGACAAACTGTTGGCGGAAAAGACCCAATTAAAGGTGTGGAAATAAATAAGTTGTTCGACTGCAAGTTTGGAGAAAAAGATGCACGTGGAAAAATTGGCCATCTTAAAGTTTCCAACTTTCGTTTGGACAAGCACAGTTGTGCAAAAACAGAATTGTTCGGCTCAGAAACTTTGACCATTCTCTCTTGATCCAAGTTTTGAGTTTCTCGAGGATATTACAGAATTTTTCTGCATTGATGGTCTCATCTTGTAGCATGTTATCAGCAAGCAATATCCCTTTGCAGCCCCAGGAAACGGCTGTCATAATTGGACCACATGTTGCAATTTAGGACTACAATTTCTAGCTCATCCGTAAAAACTTATCATTAATGTGTATAGAAAAACTAATGGTACATACGTTGTTTCTAAACTGAGCCCGAAATTGTAGCTCCTGATTGCAAAATGCAGTCCAATTTTCCGCCCTGATAATGCCATCTTGCCCCATGCCGGGTTAGGAGTGGACTAAATTGGACCTGCAATCAGTGGAGGTGGAGACAGAAAAAGGCATATATCTCGGCAACTCGTTGACCAAATTTCTAAAATCATGACGCACTAAAAATTCGAGAGTACAAACATCAAAGTACTCTTTACAAATCAGTTCTACTTATCATACTTTATTAGTTGTAAAATGAACGTATCCAAATCAAAAGGAAGCCTCTCCATCGTGTCATGTACCCTGAGGCCCAATAATACATGCATGCCAGAGTCAATGTCACAACGGAGACAGTTCCTCTTGATTTAAACACTTCTAAATAGGGAAACTTACTAATGGGTATGTACACATTTGTAGGTATAAATTAAGTAGGGGAATGAGTGTATGTATTTTGCCAGAGAGAGTGATTCTGGGTACTAACATTATAGAATGCCATGAATAACAATTGATAAACAGCTAGCTCCATTCTATTTCAGCAGGATTTATTATTAAGTGTTTCGCAATTCTAACTCACATGATTGAAACCAGGTGGTTGAACGGTTGTTCTAAATGAAGTTCATAAACCGTACAAAGAAACAGAACAAATTTTTTTCAAAAAGTTAGTGAGCATTGACCAGAATTAGCCACTACATCAGACAGTGCGTAGTTTCCTCTCATGCTTTTTTAATCTACAGAACTCAGACGTGTAGCTTTTGGCTTTATTTGACGAATAAGCGACCTGCATACATCCCTTATTACTGTGGTAACTTACGATATCACTGTCTGAACTTATATTATTTTTCCCCACTGGAAACAAACAACATTCTGACTTAAATTTTTGTGGGTAGATTCTATATTATCCAGAAAAAATTCACAGATAATTGCAAGGCGTTACATCGTTTTGTTCATTGTCAATAAAGGAAAATGAGAGAGGAAGCTAGGTAATGTGAAATGTTGTTAAGCTAATGCGGTGGAATTGTCGATTTTGTCACAGGATCCAATTTCAAGTACGTTTAAAATCAGCACTTCAGCTCATTTCGAAGAGTAAATTGAACAGTCCATTCGTGAAACCAACTAATCTAGAGACAGGATAGTTCTCATCTCAAATTTTCAAAACAGTTGGCGATAGTGACCTTGTTAACATTGATGCAGTAAGTTACCGGAGAAAAACAGAAGTGCAGAACTTGTTTTTATAACAGAATCCTTGCAAACCTCAAATCCTAAAAACAAAGAAGCCAATACATAATGATAATTTCTTCTGTAAGTTTAGAAAGAGGATTAGTCTTGTCTTCATTCATCAAAAGGAAAATATTGGTTTCCTACTATAATACATACGACTTAAGGTGATTCGACGGTTGCCATTTTTTGTGTCTGAGCGACGTGCGATTATCTCGTTTCATTCAAACAATTCGTTCCCTAATTTCAGCTACTTGTCATTGTTTTCGGATTTTGAGATCGCACTTCTGTTGTCATGAGACTAAAGAATTCATGGACCAAATTTGACAAAGAAATCAGGGTTCTTTTAGAAGAAAAATATCACGTTCGATGGCGATAGGGAAACTGCACTCGAATGTGATATTTTTCCTTTGAAAAAACCCCGCCTTCAATCCGTTGAATTTCTTTGTCAAATTTCGTACATGAATTCCTCAGTCTCATTACAACAGAAGTGCAATCTCTAAATTGAAAAAAAAAAAAATGACAAGTAGCTGAAATTATGGAATAAATTGATGCGATATATGGCACGTCACTCTGACACAAAAAATGGCAACCGTCAAATCACATAAAGTGCTGTCTCCAAGGTCATTTCAAATATTATTAAAACTTTTTATAATCACTTTGATATTATGATCCCATGTCCAATAAGATTTGAGGTAAGTTAAATTCTGTCCTGAAAACCTTTTTCGAGCTCTCCTTTCCTTGGGCGTTAACAAATCAACTCACCTATAGAGTAATGCACACTTTTACCGTTTGACGCGCTTCTCCGTAGATTTAATCCATCAAGGGGATTAGTCGCAATAGCTACCTGTCCTGAAAACTGAGCAAAGAACTCCCTTTTCCTCAGAGTGGCTGACTTCATTAATGCGACATGATTCCTCCATCTTGTCATCACAGTTTTCCTCGATTGTTTTAAACCAAAGTTGGTTGGTGGAATCAAGCAGTGTTCCATCCCTGCTTAGTGTTGCTCAAAGTGTAACAGCTGAGCCAAAGCCAAAAGATGAGGCCTTAATTCTATACTGCAGAGATTATCATGGTAATGTCTAGTGTGTGATTTAACTGAAGTAGATCATGGTTTTTTTGTGAGCAAGGAAGCTTGAATTTATGCATTGAAAAACCAAGTTACTATCTTTCTATCTTGGTCAGAAGTTACTTTCAATAATTTCTGTCATACAAATTGTGTTCCATGTGAAATTTTGGCGAGAAAAAATATGTTTCTCAATGCTTAAATTTGCACCTTGCGAGTGGTTCATTGCACCCCTTCCCTCTTTTCAAATTTTTAGCTCAATGAAATATTGACGAGGCATGGAGGTCTGAGCATTAAGTGAACTTTCATTAAATTCTTGAAAAATGTGTACTAATGGCAAATCTAAATCTTAATATGTTCTGAGAATGAATTTTTCATATACAAAGTTGAACAAAAGAATTAAAATCTAGCCCAGAAAAGTGTTCAAAACAATAATAAAAAGCAATTTTTGGAACTGTGATGGCTGTGTGGGACCTGATATAACTTGTTGAGGAGCTGAATTGCATTTGGTTTAGGAACGAAGTGCTTTCTATCCATGCATTTTCATTAGCTGCACACTAGGATGGATTTCCCTAAAGATGAAAGATCCCTAAAGCATTAAGGCTTAGAGGCTTCAAGACAAAACAGTGAAAAACTGAAAGCCGCTTTATGCCAAATTATCCTCGGTTCCTTGACTTCTTTCTGTCAGTCAAGTTTATTCAAGTCATTACTTAACAAGCTTTTATTGCATCATATTTGGTGAATTCGAAAATGTCATCAATCAATGGAATTCCATTCCTTATTAATGGCTCGCTCACAAATCAAGCAAATTCATTCTACGCAGCATACAATGCCTTTGTTGCTCCATACATTTGAGACCATTGCAGTTCAATACTCTCTAATCGTCCATGATAGAACGGTCAAAAGATTTGGATTTTAAGCCTATCCTACAGAAGTTTTCTGGTGGGTTACATCAAAATTCAATGGATTCAGATCATGATTTCATGGACCCATCCATGATCGACACTCCAAATTTTTATCATGAATCGGTTTTATTTTATCGGAAGTGAGTAACGCCCTCTCACAAATTAGCTTCTCATGAAGGTAAAAACTCTCATACCTACTCATTCCCGTAATATTTTGTGATTTTCAATACTCCTGATGAGACTTTAAAAGCTTCTCTTGTTCGAAGTCTTGATAGAAACTTATTTGGAAGATAATTCTCAAGTATTGAAGTTCACCGAGTCATGCTCCTCACAGGATTGTGTTTCAATGGTGTACATATTATTCTATGGTAATAATAAGATTTACCAAATTTTAAGTCTCTACGTTCAATAAAAATAGAGAGTTATTACCCTGCTTTGAAAATATTATGGATGATGCCATGTTTGCTGGTTTCTAAAGACTGACACCTTTTGTAATGTTGGACATAGACATTTGACACATTGACAGGTTTCATCAGTATTTGCTGCATTATAAAATTCAACCATCAAACATAATTCTGTGAGTTGCACAACTGACCTAATGATCATATTTGAAGCTTTTGGGATGTAAAGTTTCAAAATCTATTTCTTATTTGAAATGTCTTTCTCCGTTTGTTTATTTCATAAAAAGCTAAAACAGATTTTCACATCATAATATGTAATTTGCCTTTACATCTAAAAAGAATTTTGAGGAAAAATTTCAAGTTCTTTGTCTCTTGGTTTTTCTTTTAAAAAATTTACAACAGTAGAAGACACTCGATTATTAAAAGCACAAGTAAAGCATTCAATCCCAAGGACTTCATTTATCATTGTAGCGACAAATAAGTAAGCCCCTTATCATGTTTTGTTCCTAAAACAAGTTTTACTCTCAAATATTTTGGATTAAAACTTGAGAAAATTGTTTATGTGGAGTAGAATATTGTGTAAAGCATTCATTTGCTTTCAATCGAACGTTGTTGAATTCTAGGCACGCCGGCAGCCTCGCCGTCGGGGAGTTCGGCAAAAAAAAGACATCCCTCCTCCACCCCATCTCCTTCCTCCGGAGGAGTTGACGACAGCAGCCAAAAAGGGTTTCCGGAAGAAGAGACTGATGGTAAAACCAACTCCGCAAAAGACCCGGTAAAATCCTCTTATTTTTTCTCTTCTCACTTAGATCCATTCAATTGCAGTATTTACTTCTACTTTTTTCAGCACACCACAAATCAACGTGATGGAAGAAAAGCATGCACCTGAATTAACATAAGATAAATTCATACAAACAGGGTTGCCACAGTCAGGGAAAACCGGGAAATGTCAGGGAATTTTAAAAAGTCAGGGAAAATTTGGAAATGCAAGGGAAAGCGACAAAAGTGTCAGGGGGAAATTGTGCTAAAACCTTTACTAGCTTTCTGGAATGAGTTTGACGTTTTGAACAACAAATTTCTTAAAAACGAAACAAAAACAAATGCTTGAAAACTATTTCTAATTATGTCTTTTTACGCATTTGGCGTTTCTTCAATATTGTCAGAGATTTAACCAAAATGTGTCAGGGAAATTCATTTTCTAAATTCTGCGGCAACCCTGTACAAAGATGTTTAATTTTTGAATGGGAGAAGTACATAAATGGGATAAAAACATCCAATGGGTTAGTTGGTCCTGTGTTATTGGAACACTTTTTAACCAATTGAATGTTCTTGCTTTCAGTAAAAATAAAATGATTTGTAAGTACACCAAAATGAATTGAGTTTAGTTCCTTTTGAAACGCAAAAAACGTTCCTTCTTAAAAATGGGCTAAGAAACTGGGTACATCAACAGATCTTATGATATTATATGCCAATCCGTAAGTCCAAATTTGATGTCCTCAAAATTTTATTATCTAACTTGTGCAACTTAACCATAATGCAGAAGCAAAAATTGGAAATGAAGATATTGGCATCTATACTATAAGCTCCAAGACCTCCTAATTTTGCGAAACTGGTGACGCTTAGTTCCAGCGTTCTACCGGGCCGATTTTCATAATTTTTGCGGCTATTGACGGGCAATTGTCTCTAGATAAGCCAACTCTTTTCAGATTTTGAAAATATGGCCCAGGTTTTTTTATATTACGTGGTAAAGTTGCGAATTCTCCCATATAAACAATGTAAATTTATGTGTTTTGTCATAGTTCGTTTGAGCATTCTACTGGGCCGATTTCCATGATTTTTGCGTAAATCGACAGGTAATAGGC